ACACACACACACACACACACACACACACACACACACACACACACACACACACACACACACGCACGCACAAAGCCCCACTCCGTCATTAACAGCTTGGTTCGAGAGGACCCTCCTTGTGCGCTCCATTATTGTATCGCTTGATTGTTAAAATAATAAACAAAAAGTTCAATCCCACCATAATTTTTTATTTTGTTTGGGGGAGGTCGCATGCATTCACCAGCTGAGTATATTTAATATCTTCTCCAAAAGCCACACACAAATATTCGCCTTTTAGTCCAACATTATGCGCAGTGTTTATTTATTTACCTTTTTGTTTCTTTGTATTTCTTTTTCCACTTTTTAACTGAGAATAACACTCAGGTGGGGAGGAGGACAGCTGTGATCTCTGTCTTCTCAGTCCATCTCAGACCCCTAGTGGCAACTCTTAACCACTTAAGAGTCCTCTGGAGCAGTCTTAACTTTTATTGAGAGTAAGAGTGATTCTAAGACAAGAATTTGATCACAGTCACTTACACTTAAATCTGAGAGTAGGAGCAAATCTAAAAAGAATTCAGCACTTAAGTCTAAAAAATCCACTCTAAGAAGTTTGATAAATACGGGCCCAGGCCTCTAAATATTGTCCATATTTCAAAAATTAGTAATCACTTCATAATTATGTTGCAATAGCTTTTGAATATTTTTTTACGCTTGTCGTCAAAATGAACTAATAACCAAGAAATAAACAAAAAAGCTGACAGCTGTTTTTTCACATGAACAATGTAGCCAAGCTAAGCTTTCATCTTCAATTTGTGTAAARTGGACCTATAGGCCTGGGCTAGACTTTATTGTATCTATTACAGGTTTTATGGTTTTAAGGAAACAGAATCTATCCAGTAAATTCAGTCTTCTGTCTCGTAGAACTCAATCCAACAAACATCCAAGCACATTTACTTTAAATGCTTTTGTTTCTAATTAGTTGAATGTGCTTATCAGAAAATTACAGCACACAAACAAAAAGGTGCTGGCACAATAATTACGATTTTTGTCTATTTTCCTTTTTGCTGTCAGTTAAGACAAAAACATCCCAGAGATGAAAAGTAACAACCCGTAGCAATGCTTCTTAATTCTCCTGCAACTGAAAAGACCCCACTGCCCTGTTCTCCTTCGAACGTTAATTAAAACACTTATCATACTGACACTGTCAGGAAGTTCAACCTCTCTATTTTATATCTGTATGGAGAACAGGGAAGTTCCATTAGCATTTGTCAAAGAAAACCGTGATTTATTGATATTGCTTTATTGATTTGGCATTCCTTCACCTATTTCACCTCAACAGTGGAGCCACGAGGGCGGCTCCCTCATTCCTTACTAACCCTTTTATTTCTGTTTGTGCAAACGCAGGCAAATTGAGAGTTTACATCCAACAAGAAATATGTAGGTTTGCCGTAATTACCTGCATTAAAGGAAGACCTCAGGTCAGACTGGTTTTTTTTAGCTTCAAGAAATTCTACTGAAATCAATATAAAACAACATGCTTAGTGCTTTGAAACCTCTCTGAGCAGCCTCCCTAACTTTTTCACTACTTTTCTTCCCAGCAGAGCGATTTTTTTCATGCTAASCTTTTTAGAGGAAAATAAAAAAGTATTTTTGACGACCCCTCAGTGCCTAATGTGTTGCCAGGTTTTTTTGTTAGTCACAGAGGAAAGGAAGACTGAGTGGTACGGAACCCATGAGGGGACATGGGAAAAAAACAAAACAAAAAAAAAAAACAAAAAAAAACAACGGATCCTGACTTATTTTCTCAGGACTCTGAGAATGAAATTCAGGATCCTCAGAAACAAAGTCAGGACTGACTTGACTGACTTACTTAAATGAATGCTATTAGAGGTTATCAGTCCCACACATTGGGCCTCATGCAAGAGCATGTTCGTATTCTTATCCTAAATTTCTCTTACTTTTGTTCGTACAAAGGGTTCGTACGAACATGTCATGTCAGATTCAACAAACTCTTCTATCTTCAGGAAAAGTTTGTAAATGAGCTGCGTAAACATGATGAATTACACCTGTTCGTATCCAGCTGCTCATGCACGTGGAGAGGAGATTAGCATAATTACCACCCCAAAAACACTATATAAGGCTATGTTTCCTGCCCCAGATACCAGGAAGTGTTCTTTCATGAAAATGACAGCGAAAACTAAAAAAGAAGAACTTTACGAGTTCAGAGATTGAAGTCTGTCTGTCAGAGATCCAGAAAAGAAAATCTGTCCTTTTTTTTTAGCAGCGTCAGTCATGGAATTAAAGGAGCTGCTAAAGCCAAAGAATGTAATGAAATAACTACTGTTGTTAATGTCGTGTCCCCTGTGGGTCGTATACAGTCACAGAAATAAAAATCTAAGTCATATTCATCTCTCTCTAGTCCTGCTCCGGTTTTTCTTTGGTCAAATATTTTTAATTTAAGTGTAAACAACTGTGTTACAAAGTTTTCATTTATTCAGAAGAAGAGCAGTTGCGCACTGACACCGCATGACAAAAGATGTGTTCCATTCCAGAATTATTAATTGTAAGCTTGATCACTTAGCTGCAACATTTAAGATGTTTTTTTTTTACATTTACATTATTAACATTTTATTTTACACTTGGAGTCCCATTCAGTTCAGAGTTGTGTTTAGTTGTAACACTCGAAGTCCTGAAAATGTTAAAAATGTACAACCAAAGTCTGTAAATCATGCCAGTGGACCCAGGCTTTAGCAGTTATTAAAGCAAGTCTGAACATCTTTAAAACTTTTTACCCACTTTTAAACAYCTCTCTCACAACTGGCTGTACACTTTTAACACAAGTTCCCCCTCTCATGTCTGCGTCTTATCCTCTTCCCAGCATGTGAGCTGCTTCCTTGTTCCTGTTTATTTGGACTGACACATGGGGAGAGGTGGTGGAAGWGAAACTTGTTTGAAAAGCTCGTGGAAGGCCTTAGTGGTGCAGGAGATCAGGGTTAAAAGCATCTCAGCGGCTGGCAGTCAAAACCTTGTTGCCTTTGTGCACTCGTTCACCTTGGCTGCACTAAAGAGCTGAAAGAACACGTGGAAATGAAGACATTCCAGATAACATGGCTCYGACTGAAACTATAAACAGAAATGATGTTTTCCCTGTTTTCTGTTTGGGATTTTTGTGCTGTAATGAGCAAACTAATTGCTGTGTACTGTTTGAACGCCAAATGTTCATTGTTTTTGGAGCTGCATCTAAAGCGTTTTCAAAAACTAAAGGTAGCATAGTTACTTGATCATGGTAAAGAATTGAACTGTGTGCCTGGAAAATAAATATATTAAATAATATTAAATAACTTCTGATGCCACCTGGTCTAGCTGTTGGCTCGTCAGTCCAGTCAGAATAAGCTTTATTTCTCATGATGTGTTTAAAAAATGTCTGCAAATAGGATGATATCAATTATTCATATTGTTTCCACTGAACCCAATTAAAAATGTCCAAACTATCCCTTTATATATACACAATAAATATTAGTGAGCGTGATACCAGCATTTTTTACAAGTAATCCATCTT